TATCCCCTGGCAGGATGAAAGCCACTGAAGCAATGAGGGAGAGCAATTTGTACTGGGCCCCCCAAAACCTGTCTGGCAGAATCCCATTGGATTAAAAGGGAGGCAGCTGTCCATGGTACTAAGGAACACTAGAGGCTGGAACAAGAGTTGAAGCTATATAGTCCCTCCATAAGGGAATCAGTCCCAAATGGACCTCATCTCAGTACACACAGGCTGCTAAGATAAAAGAGCAAGTACCCTTGGAGTTCAGTTGGCTTCCTTGCAAAGCCCTCTGTCTCATTCCCAGAGAATATACTTCTACAAGGTGTGTCTTCTGCTTTCCAGCCTTGCTTATAGCATGCTCTGCTGGGCTCCAGTGATGGTGGACTTCTCAAGAGTTTCTCTAATTTTCCATGATCCCTCCTGTCACAGGACCTCTGAACATACTGGACAAATCTCTTCACGTATCTTGCCAAGTTAGTTCATACTCTTCCTCTTTCATATCTTAATAGTTCCCCCAGTAAAGCCCATTTATTCCCTAGTCTGAAGCAGGTTTCAAAAAAATGCATTCATAAAACTCTATTCCTTTCCTTTATAGAACACATCTCGTTTATAATTATATACTCAATAGTGCAATTATTTGATGTCATTCTGAAAGCAGAAAGTTTCTTTTTACCTTTTTTTTTATCCTCAGATTTAGTGTAGTACCTGTCATAACATAGGTGCTCAGTTGTACAGTTGTTGAGGCTGTGCCTGTACTTTTACTATATCAGGGTCTATTTACTAGCTTCTCTGTTGGACTGAAAATGAATCCAGATCCACTCATTCTTAGTCCCAAGAAAAAGCATTCAAAGGAATTTGGGTAAAAAAGTTTTCATTAAGAAGCAATATTTTCAAAAGCAATTTTCATTTATTGAAAAGCTAGGGTTGCCTTTTACCCTATCCAGAAATATGTCATTATGGTCTATGCATTGAGATCAAAGTCTGTCCACTTTAAGCCAGGATCTGTTACATGGGCAGGGATCCACAGGCTCTGGATGGAAGGAGAGGATTCACCAGTAGGGGCCATAGGGTTAGGAATGCCTTGCTCTGAGCTGGAGCTAAACACAAGGTATTGGATCTGAGGTCCTGCAAATATCTGGTAACCAGGACATAAAAAGCAAAGTCTTGCAAAGATTACACAACTCTAGAGCCTAAGGAAGAGTCTAGAATTGAGAAGATGACCCAGATAATAAATTCAACAGAACACAATCCACCACTGTAACATTTGCCTTTTCTAGTTTCCTCGTGCTTTCAACAGTAATCATCTAATAAAAGAATAAATTAAAAAGACATCTTTTAATATAATATTGCACATAAGAAGCACTAAGCTAAAAAAGCAAATTATGTATATTCCCAGAGTTTCTATAATAGGTAAGCCTATGAATAAAACAGACTAAATACTTAAAAAATTAATAATCATGATTGTGTCAGTCCCTGTTTATCAATTATCTACTTAGGAAGGCACTGCAGAGAGATAGAGAGAGAGAGAGAGAGAGAGAGAGAGAGCGAGAGAGGAGAGCGAGCGCGAGCGCACACACACAATTATCACAATCCTCTTTGACAGAGCTCTCTCTACAGATGACAAAATAGAAAATAGGGGCTTAAGTCAGTTAGGAAATGTGAAAATTACACAGAAAGAAAGAAGTGGAGCTGGGTGAGAGAACACCATGCTTACTGGACTCTAAAGCCTGAGTGCCCAACCATGATGCCAGTGTCACACGGAAGGCCAGTCCTGGAAGTCAGGACCTTTTCTAACCGTATCTCCAGACCACTTGTCTTGCTATTGACTCAATACTGGACATATACTTTCTTCATAATTTAAATGAAGTTTTCAGTATCTGGGAACTCATAGGATTGGTATGAGGGTGGTGTTTTCTAATACTCATCATAAGTACATAATTATAAAAACAGTCTAAATATTGCTTAAAAGCATCTTTTGGGAAACTCGCTTTCTTCTGTCCCAAGCCATATTTCTTCTGCTTCCTTGGAGGATAAGAGGGGTAACAGAAAGGTGCTAAACCATGCAGGATTCAAGTCATGCCTGGTTGGTACTTTTCTGAGACTGTTTTGAAAAAATGGCTGCCCCTAGCCCAGAGATGGCTACACTTCAGTGACAAGAGGCAAAGGGGTCCAAGTTTGTACAAGTCTTAGTGCTCAGGGCAGTCTGGTTGAAAAGTGCTATATGGATATCAGTTATCATCATCCTCATGATGACAATGATTATTTTACATATGGCTGCTTTAAGGGTGAACGGTACGGTCTCATTTGTATGCTAGCATCTGGCAGGCTGTCACACATCTGCAGAATAGAACCTAAACTGCACTATTAATATTTCCCCTTTGCATTATCCCCAAGGTATCTCTCTCCCAAAATGCTTAAAGCAAACTTCCCTCCCCCTTGAAGGCCTGGAGGCAAAATTCAGAGTACATGCCACCTAGGCTGGGGAGAGCAGAAGCTCAGTCTGACAGCCAGCTGAGCCTGAGCAGATTTCTGGCTCTTGGAATAGATGTAAAGAGGGAAAGGGAACCACCACCCACTCTCATTCTATTAGCAGCTGCACTGCCAGGCAAAATCTGTAGGCAGGTTCTCCTAGACCCAGACAGTATGTCGCGTCTGTTCTGCGATCAACAAAAGATGCCAGTCACAGTCCTGATGGTCAGTTCTCAGGGTCTCTAAATATATCTCATAAGTGCCAGAACATGATTAAAGAGGCCTTCTCTAAAAGGTCTCTGGGGGCTGAGAATTCTTTGTGGTGGTGACTAGCTAGCTGTGAACTCAAACCAGGTCTTTTTCTTTTCCTTGCACACACAGCTAGAATACACTTCTTAGTCTACTTTGCAGTTAAAGGTGGTCACGTGGCTGCGTTTTAGCTAATGGGATGCATACTGTTTTGGGGCCTGGCTCATAGGAACCTCTCCTATGTGGTCCCGTGCCACCTCCCCCTCTTGTTGTCTGCTACAGATAAACCCGATGGCACTGCGGAGTTACAAGATGGAAGAGGCCTGAGGCTCCATGCTATTGATTGGATGCTGCTGCTGCTAATGGGGATCACCACTACTGGACTTGATGGGAGAAATAATCTTTTACGTGTTTGGACCATTATGGTGTTTAATTGATAACATTCTGAGCTTTACTATACACTTTTGCTAACTTAAAGTTAAATTTCCAGGGTAGATTTCATGGTCAGCTGCCTCCTGGATACCTCTAACTCTGATAACCTCCTTCTACCTTCCTATATGCAGAAGGCTACCTATGCTGGAATACAGCAGTGGCTCAAACAAAGTCTCTGGTCCCATTGAATTTATATCCAAACATGGGGAAACTAAAATAAAAAAAAAATACAAGTAAAAAGCAATTTCAAATCCTGATAAGTACTATAAAGATAAGAGGGAGAGAGAGTTGCTCGTGATGCTTGGGAGATAGGGGGAGAAAGTGCCTCTGCGGAGATGACATTAGTTTGAGGTCTGAATAATGACATGTAGCTAGCCTTGTGAACTGCAGGGGCAGAGCATGCATGGCAGAAAGAGGGAGCAGCAGATGCAAAGAATGGAAGAGCGAGGTTTACCGGGAATGGAGAAGTGGTTAGAGTTAATGAGGGAAGAGTGATATGATAGGTATCAAAGAGGGAGTCAAGGCCCAGATGGTGTGGAATCTGGCCTGGGTAAATAACTTGGATTTTATTTTAGGTTCAATAGAAAGCTGTTTTTAGCAGGGAAAGATTGATAGATGGATTACATGCTGAAAGGTCTACTCTGATTGATTCATGGAGCTTGTATAATTACAGGAGAGCAAGAAAGGAGGCCAGGGAAAATGGTAGAGTCATCCAGGTGAGTGGCTTATGCTAGCGGGGTAGTAGGCATGGGGAGGAGAGGGGGGAGTTGGTTGGAGGTATATGTTAGCGGAAGCATCGACAGGGCTCATGGGCAGATTGGCTTGGGAGTGAGGGAAGCTGGGTATAGTCACCTAGCTGACTGGTGGAACCTCGAGCTGAGCTGGGACTTGGAGTGAGGGATCAAGTTTCGGCAGGGATGGAACACCTGGCAAGTACTCAATAAATGGCCCATTTTTTATGATCACATAAAAATTAAACAAACAGGGCCCATATAGGGGGGTGAGAATTCTGTTCCAGATGCTCATACGGGAATCATCTTGACTTCTCTAAATTTCAGTTAAATAGGAGATAATAATACTGACATTATAGGGTTGTTACATCAAATATACCCTTGAGGGATAGAAATAGTAAGGAAGTATGATGATAGGGACTTTAAAGACTCCTGTAAAGGATTTTTTTTTAATGTGGATGCTGATTACAGGTGTGCTCAATCTGTGAAACTTCATCAAACTGTATAATTACGACATGCACACTTTTCTGTATGCATATTATAATTCAGTGGAGAGTTAAAAAAAAGAGAGAGAGAGATATGCTATGCTCAAAGGTCCTAGTTCAAGTACTGGGAACTCAATACACAGTAGCTGCTATTATTTTCACTGTTAAGATACAACAACAGGGCTGGGGATGTGGCTCAAGTGGTAGCGAGTTGTCCGACGAAAACTAAAAAATAAATATTAAAATTCTCTCTCTTATAAAAAAAAAAAGATACAACAACAGAAATCATCTGATGTAAATCTTTGGTCCATGTTGTCCACAGAGACCATTACGGATCCTTTAACAGAAGGCGGAGTCCTAACTGAACTCTAGGGTCTTATTGTTGGTAAAGTCACATCTGATTTTACTATGTGCCATACAAATGCCATTGTAGATCCAGAGTTCTAATCTAGAGCTAGTCCGGGGCCACTATTTGTCATTCAATAGTTTCCTAACTTGGTTAGGATGAAAGTCTCATAGATGACAATGTATTCTAAGAGGGACAAGTTCTGCCTCAGTGCTGGGTCTTGCCATTTCCCCCACCCCCAAGTCCACTCATACCTGGATACTCTTGATTCAGGCCAAATGATTATTGGCTGCAAGGAAAGGATACTAAAACTTTGATTGGTTATTTCAAAGTTCCATAGGTTAATCCTCAGGTCATCAGCGGACATGTAGGTCTCATAGTCGCTGTTGACTGATATGGAGTTGATGTGATATGTATGTGCGTTGGCAAATACTCTTCGTGGGGTGGCCTCCACCATCAGGTCCATGGGTCTCAGGACAGGTACCTGGGATGCAAGAGAAACAAACCGATTCAGAACCAAAGCTCTTCCCTGGGAAGACAGTGCACATATTTGTGGCCTTTGTTACCACAGGCAAAGTTAACCACAGTTGGGCCAGGCATGGTAGCACATGCCTTTAATCCCAACAGTTGAAGCAGGAGGATCACAAGTTCAAAGTCAGGTTCAGCAACGTATTGAGGCACTAAGCAACTCAGTGAGATCCTGTCTGTAAATAAAATATTTTAAAAAGAGGCTAGGAATTTGGCTCAGTGATTAAGTGCTCCTGGGTTCAATCCCTAATTACCCCCTCTCATCGCCCTCCCCCCCCCAAAAAAAAGTTAACCACAGTAAAGATGCTTTAAGTTTGAGAAAACACATCTATTCCTGTTCACTTTGGGTCCTTTCAGCTATTCATTTCTCAAAAGGGTTACACACCTGTAAACCCAGTGGCTCGAGAAGCTGAGGCAGGAGGATCACGAGTTCAAAGCCAGAATCAGCAAAAGTGAGGCTGCTAAGCAACTCAGTGAGACTCTGACTCAATATAAAATATAAAATAGGGCTGGGGATGTGGCTCAGTGGCCAACTGCCCCTGAGTTCAATCCCTGGAACCAAAAAAGAGTATTGCCATCACCTGACCCTGATGGGATATTTCATTCATTACAAAATCTAAACTTTTTCCAGAACCTTCCAGGTGGCCTTGTCTCAGGGGAGCTTGGACTCCACTTTGGGGACATTGCCTTCCAGAGATACTGTTCCAGTTTTATTTTCTTAAACATGAAATCTATTTTTACAAGGAAATTGTGGGGACATTTTAGAAATCTGATTAAACTTGAATCTCAATTTGTCCTTATATCTTTTCATTGCTTGGCTTTGGAGGCCTAGATTCCCTCTTGGCCTTGTCCTCGATCATTAAGGGCATTTTGAAAAAACTTATCATCTCCCAAGACTCTACTAACCCCATTCAGCCATTAATATATAGGGTTCCAATTATGTCCTCATTACCCTGAGAAAATCTTGATTTATACTTATTGGCTTGGAATACCAATCAGGTAGCTTCCACTTTCATGTTCAAACCTGTGCCAGTTTGGACAATCAAAAAATTTTTTTTCAGTGCTGGGGATTCAACCCAGGGGTGCTTTGCCACTGAATCACATCCCCAGTTCTTTTTTATTTTTTGAGACAGGGTCTTGGCTGAATTGCTCAGGTTGGCCTCAAAATGGTGATCTTCCTGCCTCAGCCTCCTGAATTGCTGCACCACTGCACCTAGCTGGACAATGAATCATATGGTCACTCTACTGATATGTAAAAAGTGCTCAGTAAGTATTTGCTGAATGTCTGACAAATGCCAGTAAGGGTCTTCTTGGCAGGTCAGAGAATCAGGCAGTGATATAGTTTCTCACACATGAATCTCTCTAGAAAATATGAACAAAGACACAACACTTTGAGTTCTAGGTGAATTGGCTCCTAAGAAAGTGAGCGAGAACACAAACAGACTAAACCACCACCACCAAACCCCACTGCACAGGTGCAGTCTCTTCACAGAAATAAGAAAATAAGGAACCCAAAGCGATTTTTTTTCCCCAGGCAAATCATCTCTTGCAACTGAGTCCTGGCTGATTTGACACCAGGTGGTAGATGAAGGCTTCAGCTTCTGCATTGGCTTTGATCCAGGTGGTGGGGAGAAACAGCCCCCACAAATGGCTAGATTTTGTGAAGTGCAGTTAGCTCACCAACCGACATAAATTCCAGAAGACCGAGTTCTGCCAGCTCAGTCTCCAGGGAGTTGTTGCACTAAATAAAAGACTTAAGAGGAAACGATTCTAGACAGATGTGATGCTGGATGCCCTGAAAACCAGAGGCAGCTGTGGTGTGGATGTGGAAGAATCAGGGGTCTGCCGGATGCCAGGAAAGGGAAGTGAGAGGGAGCCCCTGGGATCCCACACTTCAGTGACGGACAGTGGTTCTGTGGCATAAGCCTGGGATGGCAGGATGGGGAGACCCAGGCTCTGAACACAGACAGGCTGTGGGACCATGGGCAGCTGACCTGCTCCTTCCTAGCCTACCCCCAAACAGCGACTGTTCTTGCTGTGCCTGCATTATCTCCTTTTGGGCACCTGGGATTGAACCCAGGGGAACTTAATCACTGAGCTACACCCCGCCTGCCCCTTTTTACATTTTTATTCTGAGCCAGGGTCTTTCAAAGTTGCATAGTGCCTTGATAAATTGCTGAGGCTGGTCTTGAACTTGTGATCCTCCTGCCTTAGCCTCCGAGTTGCTGGGATTATAGGCGTGCACCACCTGCATTATCTTGAAGGGTGGTTGTGGGGATTAGAGATGAATGTCATTCCGTTCAACCTCTCGCTCACTATTTCAGCAACACCTACTGAGGGCTTCACAAAATTCTGGGGACTTGAATGATGAGCACGAGACACAGGTCCTGCCATCATCTAGTTCAGATTGACATGGATTAATAAAATGGGTTAAGTACCCCCAAAGAGAGAATCTAGTGCTAAGGGAAGTTTAATGTGGTCAGGGAGGGGTAGAGAGCCTTTCATGAGAGTGCATGAAAAGGTGGGGATGTGAAAGATGAATCGAGGCTTAGCCAGGCCAGATGGGGAAGGAAGAAGGTTCCAGTCAGAGAAATGGCAGGTACAAAGGCCCTGCAGTGGCTCATGGTACTGGAAGGGCAGCAAGCAGTTTTTGTGCCTAGAGAGGAGGGGAAGATGCTGGATCAGTAGTTGGGGCTGGATTGAGGATTTTATTGTGAAGGTGAGAAAAGGTGCCAATAGCTGCCCACTCCTAGCTGCCCTGTACTGCCTCTTTTCTGTTAAGAAATTGTGATCTTCTGGCACCTGCTCCCCTTCCGCTTCATTTCTTCAGCCTTCCACCTTCCTTCTCATTATCCTTCCTGCCTCTCTCCTCTTAAGAAAAACCAGATCATCTTTCACTTCCCAGAACCTATTTACTAACAAAATGAATGCTGCTGTCATTCAGCTTATTTGGTGACCACACCAGCGATTCTTCACAATCTTCCAGGGCACCTAAGTGGGGGGTTGGCAGGTCACAATGCCCTGCTTCAGAGACACACAAAAGCTGAGCAGAGCCCTGAAAAACAGGAAGCCCCGGAGGCTGCCCCCCTTTAAGAGACATCTGTGAACCACACAGCAGGGAGGGGCTGGGGAAGGACTCACTGCACCCCCCTGATCGACTTTTCACAGAGGAAAAAAACAACAGCTGTGTTTACCATGGCAACCTCCAGCCCCCCCATCAAGTTGACAGATTCAAGGCAAGACTCAGAGGGAAGGGATGGTCAGAGAGGAGATAAAACACAGAAAGACAACGAAGTCACGGAGGAGGGAGGAAGGGAATCGTTTGAAGGATGTGAATGGATTGAGCCGCTGAGAAACTCGAGGTCAAATCTCATTGAGTTGAGCAGACCAATCTTCCAGACTCGCTGGATAAATGAAGGTTATGGGATGAGGTGGGTTTCATATCACCAGTTAGGAAGTGCATTTAGGGACACTTTGACCACACACTGACCCCAGATAAAGCCCTCGGCAAATATTTATTGGGCATCTACTACAAGCTGGGTAGTTGCCACAGAGTGTCCTTGAGAAGGTTGGGGAGACCAACAATACACAGCTTCCTATTCCTTCTGCTTTATAACCAGCCCTTCTGGGAAGCAGAGACAACCAGGGATGTCTGATCTAGAAAAGGCAAATGAGAGCTCAAGTCCTGGTGTACCTCATGCTTGGTGGAAACAGACGTTGACCCTGGTGCTCTGGGAACATAGGTTTGAGACCCAGTGGAGAATCTAGACGATGCTGACCTAAGTTATGAAAGGCTGTCTTCAAGTTCAACCCCTTTGCCTGTTCAATGGGCTTCCCTCAGGAAATACCCTCGGAGGCTCTCCAGGGACCATCACCATATATTTGGGATTTCCAAAGGAAGAGGAACAAGTCACCTTGCAAACGAGCATCATTAAATCATTCTGCAAACACCCTTATTCCAAAGCAATTTGGCTCAATGGGATGGAGCAGCCACCTTCAGTCAGGACACTGGGTCCTTTGGAATAGGTGACAACTTCTCAGGCATTAGATCCAACAGTTTTAAAGGATATCATCCATAACTACCATGTATCTTCCAATCTAAAATCAGATTGTCTCAAGACATACCCACAACCTAGGTTCTCCTCTTCCCCTTGGCAAAACAAGAAACTGTGTCTGTTAAGAAACTGAGGTCTTCTGGCACCTGTTCCCTTCCCCTCCATTCCTTCTGTAGATATACCTGTACCCACCCTGAATCTAACTGAGGTTCACTACGGGGACATAGACACTTCTGGGAGGGACACTTGCATAATCCCTTTAGCCAGGGACCCATGAATGCTCCCACCCCAGCTTATGCATTTCTAATATTTGATTTTGTATTTGGTATCATTATTTGTTAGAATTATGTTTACTTTGTTCTGGTATTTTGTGTTCTATCAATAATCACAGTAACAACCCAGAAGAAAATTTTAAATCCTAATAGTCATATATCCATAGGGGTAAAAATCTTTCTTGTCTATATCTATATTCATTGTAGAAATGATAAAAAATGTTTTTTACATTTATTTGGGATACATGTGGTAAAAATACTTAAAATCAGCATAATACAGTGATGCAGCTACATCAATGTTCATAGCAGCTCAATTCATTTTAGCTAAACAGTGGAACCAACCTACATGACCTTCAACAGATAAATGGATAAAGAAACTGTATATATACACAATGCGATATTACTCAGCATTAAAAAAGAATAAAATTGTGGCATCTGTAGGTAAATGGATGGAGTTGGAGAATATTATGCTAAGGGAAGTAAGCCAATTCCAAAAACCCAAAGGCTGGATGAATGGTCTGATAAGTGGATGCTGATCCATAACTGGGGTGGGGGGTGTGTGGGGAAAATGGAGGAACTTTGGGCAAATGGGAGAGATGTTGGGAGAAGGGGTATACGGGCAGGAAAGA